GAGCAACCTAACAAAACAGAACACTGTCAGTGCAAAGAAAGCTTACAGCTGCACTGTATTATTTAAATACATGCTTTTTTCCAACAAACACAGCTTTAGCCCTATATAACATGGCTAATTTCAGAGCACTGAAATTCTTGCCAAGAATTATCTTACCTATCATGATGAACTGAGAGTCTGGTGTGAATGATGCCTCCAGCGTGACAGCCTTACTATTGTTATAACCCTATGGCACAAAACAGGAGAATAGGTAGTAGAGAGTGTGTCCACAGCAATCTCACAAGCCAAGGGCACCTGCTCCCCAAACTAACACCAGGTTTTCCAGCAAGTACCACAGGCAGCAGGCTCACCCCAAACGTGTGCAAGACAGCTCCTTTGAAGGCATCGATCAGCCGAATGAAGCCGCCGTTTGTGGAGATGAGGATGAGTTTCCCATCATTGCTGAACTTCAGGCCCGTCCACTCACACGTTCGGTCATATTGCATCTTAAACGTAGCAAACGGCCCCTGCAGAGAGGAAATGGGAAATAGGAGGGAGGCTGTTTGCTCATATTGCTGGTAACAAGAATCTGCTTTTAACCTTAGCACAGGAAAATATTTCTGATTTTTTAAAAGAAAATCCTTGGTTCTAAGATACCAAAAGAGTGTCACGGCAAACATGTCTCTGCATGTAGAAGTTTTAAGATATGAATCTAGTTTCCAATACAAAAAAAGAGTGCAATAGGCTGTTTCAATCCAACAGTTTCATACTCTACCACAATCAACATCAGAAATTCAATTTAGGTAGGAATAAGTTTTTGAACAAGGCTGCTAAATTAAGTGAGAGAAAGAGTTTGAACCAGTGTAATAATCATCTGAGTTTTGAAAACCATGGACCTAGCTATGCTCAGTCCTTATTCAGTTCAGCTGCCCACACTAGTACAGTTTCCTTTGAAATTTCCATCCTTTCTGACAGTCCTGGCTCAATCTTTACCAGTGTTCTTCCAGAATAAGCAGTAAGGAAAGAAAGGCCAAAACTGCACAACAAAGAGCCTAAACTGCAGTTTGGAGCAGGTTCAAGAGCAAGCACTTGAGCATTGGTAAGAGTGTACCTCAGGATTTGTATCTCTGTCCCTGAGATGTGTGCTTACTGAGAACTCTCTGGATGCCAAGGAGGCACCCAGACAGTAAGCTTGAGTACACAAATCCAGCCTCTGAGCACTGAGTTTAGATTACCTCTTGCAAGGTAAAAACTGTAAGAAGAGAAGTCAGGGTACCTCACCTTGTCAAAAGAACGGAGATCATAAAGCTTCACCATTTCAGAATTGACTCCAGCAGCAAAAATCAACCCTTCTGGGTCAAAAGAGCACACTGGCTTCCCTTGGAGATGCATTAAACCCTAGAAATAGAAACAGCCAGAATTATTTTGCAAGACTGATGCTCACATTTCTACCACCCCACTTTGAGTCCACTGTGAGCAGGACAGCATACTAAGGGTGGAACAAATTAATTTCAATTGTAAATACTGAGGTTTTTTCAAAGATTCAAAACTCAGCTTTTTCAACTTTAGGTCATCATATAGGGCTTCCAATTTGCTTCAATGACAAAGTTTGCACCAAAACAAATCAAAAACTCATTCTAGGTGTCATGTACTCCAGAAGTCCCCAGAGAAGGGAGGTTCATATGGCTGTGTTAATAACCATACCAGGCAGCACCACAAAAACACTGCTGCTGGGATCAACAGCAATGCTCTACCACTTACGGCTGCACAAGAGGGTTAAAAAAGTACTTTGAAAGCAAGGGAATATCACTGCTGAGCTCTACATGCCTCTGTTCAATGAAACCTCATACCTGCTGGAAGCTAATAGACCTTACATATTAAAATTGATAGGCTACTACCAATGCTTATTTTTAATGCTACCTTTTCCTTAAGTCACGTAGTAGAAATCAATTGAGAAAGTTTGTTAAAAGCCAACAAAACATGTGATCTTCTGTATCCTGACTAGCAGTCTGTGCATATTAGTCAAACGTTTTCATGAACTGTATGCACATAAACAAGAAAACATCTTTGATTAAATCTGTAACACAGGTAACAAGTTTCTGCATTTTTATTTCTTTTTTCATTCCTCTTTAGGTAAATCTAAAGATTTTACTACTTCTCTTCTTTCCCTTGTAGGTCAGTTTTCCCTGTGGCCTCTGAAGGTGAGGCAGAGAGCTCAGCCAATGCTCAGGGCCCTGGTGAGCAGGCCAGCTCTGGTTTCCCGGGAATATTTCCAGGCAGTATGGCTGCCATCTCACGGAGCAACTGAAAACTACAAGTACACTTCCTCAACCTGCTTCCCAAACTTGGCTGGATGCAGCTTCCAGTTACAAGTCCAACTTTTATCATTCTTACAAGTTCAGGCATCAGCATAAGTCACAGAATTGCTACTGAATTTACAACCCTGTCTCATCTGCAGCAACTCAGAGATGGAGATTCATCCCAAGGGGAAACTACATGCTGGAATAAAAGGCATACTCCCAAAAAAAAAAAAAAAAAAAAAAAAAAGAATTAAGAAAAAATTAAGATACCAGGACAAAACAACTCAGCACCACTAAAGGTAGAAATTCTACTTCCAGTCTTTCATTCCTGCCACTGCTGCCAGTTCTCATATTTTTCTCAGCTCTTACAAGCCTGCTTCCACTAAGAAAAGTAAAGTATTCCAGCAAAATAAGTAAACAAAAACAGTTTTGCTGTCTTGCTAGCGAGTCAAACCTGCTCACAAACAGTTCTGATCAACAACAGAGGTGATGCAAGGAGGTGGCAGACCATATGGCTGCTGTGTTACTTTAGATCACCAGTTTCTTCATCAAATTTAATTGCAACAAGGCACCAATTTTAGACACACACTCAAACACTCAGGTAAGACGAATTCTCAACACAGGAGGGATGCCAACTCTGAGAGAACATCCTCTGCATAAGGCAGCAGCCTGACGAACAAGCTGATGACACCCAGCCCTTCTCTTGTTTCATCAGCTGTGGGTGTTATTTCTTGCCCTCCCCAGTGCCCCTCCAGCAGAGACACAGGTGAGAGCAAGTGCTGTTACACAACGTGACACACACTGCACATAGATTCCTGATCCAGGCTCCTTCAGGAACATGTCAACACAAAATCAGCAGCACACAATTCCTGCAGTGTTTTTAGTTTGTTACAAACACACATCCATTTTTTTATTCTTCCAACTAAAAACTCATCGGGCACATGAATTTTATAACCTACCTGGCAATTTGGAGAGCGGAGATCCCAAAGACGAATAGTTTTATCCAGAGATCCAGAAATAAAAGTATCATCCACTGGAGACATTGAAAGAGCAACCACTCTGCAATACAGAAACCCACATGCATCAGACACAAACCAAAGAAGTTAATGCAGCAACACCCACCCCAACAGCTTCGTAAAAACCCACAACTGAACTAGGCAAAAAGCAGCATGAACCAAGCGTAATGGAGCTCAAGCCCATTACCATTCTTATTTCAATTTCTCCTGTCCTGTCCCCAAGCCACATCTCACCTTTTTGTGTGCCCCGGGAAATACCGAATATATTTGTTGTCATGCAGGGAGAGGTATCGGATTGTGTCTGAAACATAAACAAACCATAAGCTTTATTACCACCAGCCCAAGGTTATCTGAAAGAGATCACATTGTAACTTGCTCCCAACAGCAATAATAATCACACCACAGTGCTTAAGTCTGGTCATTTAATTTCAAATAAGACTTCGAAAGAGAATCAAGTTAGAAACAGACATAAACCAACTTGGTTCTTAAGCAGAACTGAAAATTAGACAGGAAAAGATACTTTCCACAGTCTGAAGTCATGTTACAGTTTAAAAACAACTGTCATGTGATTTATGCAAGGTAATTTCAAGGGTGCTAAAATATAAGTAGCAGCAGGTTTTATTCCATTTGCTCTCAGAAAATGGAGAGTATCAAATTCACAGAGTTAATGCTACCACTTTGTATTGCTTTGCAACATGAATATTGCTCTCTTTCCTACATACATATTCAGCAAACAAATCTCCAACTAAACAGTATACACAGGAAATGTACAAATTCTGGCACTCTGCTAAAGATAAAACCATAACTTCGAAGCCAGGACAAGATGATTAAAAACTAGCAAATCTCTCTTCTTTTTGTTTAATCTGACAATCAACAATTTCACACTTTCTCTGCACTAAGCTCTAAGAAGAGGACAGAGTAGTCTAAAGCTTAGTGCACTTGAAGCGATCTTAAACATAAATTGAATAGATGAGAGCAGCAGCACAACATTTCTCAAGTGCCAATTTTGTCCTGAGTATAGGTGAACCAACCGAGAGCAGCCCACAATTCTGGAAGATGCTGTTGAGACTTTCTCCCCAAAATTAAAAGAAATTATTCTAAGAGGAAACATTTATTAAAAGACAGAAGCTACATTTAATCTTTATGTGCAGACTCTGTACTGCTGGAACAACCAGTCCTACTGAGGGTCAAGGACATTTTACTTTTGACTCAGAAGAACATGTGCCAAGAGGATGTAACATGAACTGGGCATTTTGACAGTCAGAGAGGCTACTGTGTTCAGAATGTTTTGGAAGGCTCATTCAGCAGAAGTTTCTATCTGTGAAAAAATTATCAAGTTCTCATTGTTGCCTGAGGTTGCTCATCAAGGTGAGATCAGAGGTCTAAACCACCCTCCAGTATTTGAGAAGCAAACTGAAGCTGACTGAACGAGCTAGAAATGTGGTACTGGTGACAGTTCTGAAAAGCTCTAAGTAACCTGAGGTGACTACCCAAAATATAAATCCCTAACACCAGTGTCACATCCCACACTGGATAGAACCAACATACTTCAAATTTGCTATTAGGATTAATCTCTTGTTTCCTGCACAAAGTGTCATTACCTGATCTCTGAAGTATCCATGCAGAATTCCATCCTCCTTTGCTAAAGGGGAAGCACTGGGCAATTGTGCTCCTTTGTGATCCTCACTGAGGGCAGTGCTCTGTCCCAGGCAAGGCAGTGGCCTGTACAGTTATCTCCTGTACCGGGTGGTATCATAGACCCTCAAACTGTACAAACTACTACCTCAGCCTGGAATCAGGCAACAGGAATTAAGTCCAGAGGTCTTGAGGAAATCTTCACAGGTAGATTGGTAGCAACAAAACATTCAACAGAAAAAAGATTGCAAACAAGCACCAGCATTCCTACACAATGTTCTTGAGATAATTTTCCTTCCCAATACCTGCAAAACAGGTTAATACAAAGCACCTTGCCCATGGCCACATGCATTAGGGACTACAGAGTACCTGGACTCCTACAGAACACATTGTTGGTTTTATTAAGGTTACAATTTGTAACAGCAACAAACATTCTCACATTGTCTCTTTTTCTTTTCTTCTAATTAAGCGTTCACCATAATGCTACCCTGCAGCAGGAAGACTTAAGGCTTACCAGGGCTTATAAACAAAAACTCAGTATTCAAAACGGCATTAAAATGCTTCATTTAAGCATTAAGTGAAGTTTAATTATTATTATTATTAACTTTAATTAAGTTAATTATTACTTACTGCAAATTAAATAACAGCCAGATTAAAAAAATGTGACATATAGTAATAATATAATTAAAAAAATAAGTAGGTTCTGAAACAGACTAAAAAGGCATGTGCTTCCTGTGACAGTTTTAAACCTTTTACACCATTAAATCCAATTCTGGTGGAGACTTCCTTTTTCCTCTAGTTTCAGGCCCAGCTTGCTCTAGTTTAACCCAACTTCCTAACTCTTTACTTCCATCTTCTCTAAATTCACAGCCTTTGTAATTCCTTTAGTAACCCAGCACACATCACAAGGCACTAGCATCTCTACTGTTAAGTTTCATCTCTGTAAAGGAAAAACCAAACCAAAACCTCTACTACAGAAATTATGAGTCTACAAGAACAGTATTTGTGAAGTGCTGTGCTAAGAGATGTCATTGCAAAATTCTCAAGACATTGACTACAACAAATAAAGCAAGACTGAGCTCTGTGACCTCCTCCAGGCTTGGCTGTTGATCTGCTGAGTTACCTGAAGCTGCTGCCCTCCCTTCCTCTGCAGCTGAGCTGTGCACCAGACAGAGCTGTGGCATTTGGCCCAGCTGCTCCTTCCACCTCACTCACATAAGAAATGAAGGTGCAGAGGCCAATGGCAGCACTGACACTGACACCAGCTGAAGAGCACAGTGAAGAACCCAAGTTTTATCCTCCTGACCATGTTTAGCCCTCAGTTATTGCAGCAGTGAACCACAATGTACGGAAGCTCAAGGGACTAGCACCAAGCTGTGCATTAGTGTTGGACATTAATTCCCTCCTCTGCCTCTGACAGAGTTCTCATCACTGAAGAGTTGTTACAACTTTTTCCCAAATCTTTAGCACTAATTATCCAGTGTAAGAAGATTAATATGCTCCACTCCAGTGGACCACTTACCATCTATTTTGTTGGAGCTATACACGACGGTGTTGGCAGCATGTGTGTATCTGATGAGGTCCACTCCATATTTCTTGCTGTACAGGGTCCTCTTTGGTCTGTCAGGAGGAAGTAGAAATAAAATTGCACTCTTGGCAACAAAAATCTCAAAACAAAACTCACATCAACAAGACCTGTTCCCATTGAGGCATTGCATGATTGCTTCAAGAAGTCAGATGTTTTTATACAAAGAAAGAAAAACTTCTGTATTTTATTTTCAAACAAGGGTCTTGTTGTTTCTCCAAAACTATCCCTAGGCTTGAGGAGGTCTCTGTAACACCTGCTAAATGCATGCATCTCCTCCAAAAATTCCTTCTCCTATGACATCTACTGAAAAAAGAAAAGGAGGAGCTACCATAATGAGCACAGCAAGCAGCGCTGCCTTACTGTGCCCTTGCCCATTCAAATCTCCCATTCATCTGCTGCTTATTTTAGATTGAGTATAATTTGTCTTTGTTCTCAGTTACTTCAAAACCTAGAACAGGATGTCTTGTTCACGGGGTAGTAACCCAAACACATTTATACACCAGTCACCAAATTCCTATGTTACAGATATAGTAACATAGGAATTTTTCCAAACCAGAATTATACCTGTATCCAGTCTTAGAGAAAGAATCTCAAATTTAACATTTTGCAACAGAATGAAAAATCACAGTGACAGCAAACACAACTTACAGAACTGGGTTTCTGGGAGTCTGGTAAGCAGGTAATGCAGTGCAGTACTAGAAATTCAAACTGCAGAGTAAGCTTGGAAGCAGCTGGCTAATAAGGGTATCTCACAGCAGTGGTGCTTGTTTGAGCAGTGCAAGGTCTCCACCACCCTCCTTCCCCTTTCATCCGCAACTGAGGGAGCACAAAGGTTCCAGAGCTGGGCCGTGGACCAGCAAGGGTACTGATCAACACCAGAAATGCTATCTCTTCCGGGAACTATTTTTATTCCAGAGACTCATAACTGGTTATTACACAGGCCCACAAAATATTTTATCCACAAAACCAAAGACAAACAGCATGGGAATGGAAACAAACAGCAGGAGCAGTCAAAACCCGTACTGCTGCCAAGAGAAAAATTTGTCAGACTACACCTCAGACAAGGTACGCTCCTATTATGCTGGACTTTTTCCTTCCTTCATTAGCTCAACCTGACACACCCAAACAAGAGCACAACTTGGAGACTTTTCATACAAACAAAACCAGACAAAACCAGACCTTCATTCTTGAGTATCAATTCTCAAACAGCAGAAGCCATAGGGCTTTGACTTCAAACAAACTTGCTGGGGGGACAAGTTCCCATGAAGAGAAAGCCAATACAGCAAGTGCAGTGGAAAGCCACATACCACCTGTACCACAGACCAAACCTCAACCAATTCTTCCCCAGTAGCTCCAGCAGTTTTTAAATCATTCTTCAGATCCAAACATGCCACACATTGAAAAAGCACACCTAATTTAAATTTTGACAAACACTAACATTATGCATGATATACTTCCCCACACTGCTTTCTGAAGTTACCTCACCCATGCTGTTGACCAATCTGGTGGGAATAAAACCCAACAACAAACAAAGAAAAAAACCCCAATCTCAAAATATATTATATATATTAGATTCTCCTACGTCTAGTTTGGCTTTTCATTTTCTATTACAAGTTTAAACCTCAGAAGATCTATTTAGAATAAATTAACATAGAGACAATAAAGATCAACAGAGACAAAAAGCATATTTACCAAAAAGAAGAAAAAAGAGTTCTCTGTTCTATGAAAGATGAAGTTTTTATGTAAAGTGATATAAACAGAAGTGTGCCACTGCACACAAGACCTGTTGCCAGTCAATTATCTTAAATACAAACAAGAAAACCTTTTAACAACAAATCACAATCACTAAAACAATTCTAAGGTCAAGGACAATCTATGCAGCCCACCTATGAAAAAAGCAATATTGATAAAGAAAAATACAAGATCTCGGGCAAATCTGCTAGAAAGATGAAACAAAACACAGGAAAGGTTTGCAATATCATTCATGCCTTGGTTTGAATCACTGCTGCTGCGGGTGAAACATCACCACAACCAGGAACATGGGTGTGTCCACAAACACCACAGTAAAGCAGGAGTCCAGATCTGGCACTTTGTCTCAATAACACAGGATCACTATACACTACAACACAAGCTAAAGCTTTACTAGAGCACCATTCTATCACAGCAGGGTCACCAGTGTGCAGGCAGGCTGTTCCCAGCCTCGGGGATTGCTGTACATCCCAATATACAACTGTCCTGCAGGTTCTCACAACCCTTCCTCAAGTCCAAACACACTCCAGTGATGACTCTTAGTCACGCTTCTGAGCCAGCCTACTGTGGAGGGATTTGGACATGCTGGATGGGTAAAAAATTAGTAACAATTCAGTTGTTTGCACACTTTGTAATAGAAATGAAATCTCGGGACCAAAATTATTGGATGCTTATGTCAGCTGCATAAGCCCAGAACAATACATGATAAGGAGATAATCTTGTCCTGTCAGCCCTTGGCTACACAGCACTGTTTCAACTGTCCTGACACTGTCAGACGCTGGAGCTCACCAGGATGGGGCTGGGCACACTCTCATAGAGCTGTGCAATTCAGTTTGGTGTAGCAAAACAAAGCAAACTAGATGGGGATACTCCTAAAGTACAACCAAACATTTCAATTTTAATTCTACCAGCATAACTGCTTATTAACAGAGGACACACAGCAGATTCTCACACTTTTACACAGGGAAAGGCATTAGTTTTCAGGCCAGTTGTTGAAGTAGGATATCCTACACTGAACCCCAGTAAGCAAGATATTCAATTTCCTCCTGGCCATTATATCTAAGCAAGTGAGAGTTCCAGGCTCTTGAAACTGTGATTTAAAGGAAAAAATAAACCAACTACAAGCCTGAAACTGCCACAGCAATGATCACTCAGAGACCTAAAATATCATCTTCACACGAATTTCGAGCGACAAAGTAATTAAAAATAAAACCTTCCAGGTTAGAGAACAAGCGTGTCCTGCATCCTTAGCTACCCCTAAAAATGACAGCTACACTTTTAAGCCAGTTGATAGTGCATGAGAAGCTTTTAAATAATTTTAAAATTTTATAACCACCAGAAAACTGCATCCTGACACAGAAGTTACCTTGAAACTACTCTCATTGCCCTGCAGCACTGCAGTAGAGGACCACTGATCTACATTTAACTTAATTAAAGCAAGCCCTCTGACTAGAAAGCACATCAGGATTAGCTAGAGATAGGAATGAAAGGTCCAAATGCCTCCCAACCCATTAAACTGTTCTTTACAAGTTTGAAAGGGGAAGAGCAATCAATACCATCTGCATTAACATCACTCAGCCTTGCTACTACTGTATATAATTAAGATCTGGGATACGATCCATGGCACACTCCATATGTATAGAGTTACCTGCTCTTACATAAATAAAAATTAAATATTTGCACATCAGAGCTCATTCCAGCAGATGGGGAACACTAATAACCTTAATGTGTAAAGCAAACAAACTACACAGAAGTCTAAAATAATATATGATAGGTGTGCCACAAAGTTAAGAGAATATGTAGGAGGCAATCTTTCCTCCCAGCA